ACCCAAAGCCAGCCCCGTACTAGCCACTGTGAAGAAAATTAACTCTACTCCAGCCGAAACCAGCACGCTTAGGACTAGAGTAATGTGCAACTTGGTTCCCACACCTCTGTTTAAACCACTGGCAAATGCCCTTTTTGGTAGGGGTTCACTTGAAACGTTGGGTTTTGGCTGCGACTGTTACCTTCCACGTGCCTCTCGCGCTGATGGTTTGGAGAGACGAGTGCCCCGTGGTTCCTCTGGAGGGCATGTGTTGACTTTGGGGCAATGAAAAGGCATTTCCGTTGGTGTTTGGAGCACGTACAGAGTTGGCTCTCATGGACAAGACTTTTTTTTTTTTTTTTTCCCCTTGCTGCTCAGAGAACAGCTTAACTCTGTTTTTTTTCCTTTTCTGATCACTTCCAAGTTTCACGTGAGTCTCGCTGTCATGTCTCTTCGCAGGTCAGATGCCGGGGCCCGGTTCCATGATACCCGGACAGCCCATGCCGGGCCGGATGATGCCAAGTGTGTCGGCCAACATCCACCCAGCTGGCGGCGGTCCTCCCCCACCTGGCATGGCACCGATGTCAGGAAACCTCATTGGACCTCGCGTTCCTCTAGCAGCTCCAAACGGCATGTGTAAGTGGATCTCCAGCAGAAAACGTTTGGAATGTACCTGGTGGGGCTTTTCTGTCGCTTGCCTCGTTGCCGGAAAAGTCATCGCCGTTGAAACCCCTTTGTCTGCTGCAGGAATAAGAGGATCTGTGCACGTGGGCAGCCAAAGGCTGGTGCCAGAGGTGTGCTTGAAGCTTTAAGTGCTTGTCTCTCCTCTAGGCATCCGAACATACTCCATTGTCCTTTATTTTATTTATAACTTCCCTTATTTTATTTATAATGGCACCGAGGCTCTGTGGTCATCATCAAAAACCACTTTGACTTAGTCTGAAAGAATGCACAGTAGAGGTCTGGGAATTAACTGCATCTAAATCCTTAAATAGCAGAGGTCAGAATATAATTCAGTTCAACAATACCTTACTGAAAACTTAGGCATTAGAAAGAGAAAGTCCTAATTAGGAAGAAGCAAAAGGTATATTGGGAATGTTCCTTATGTGGTATAAATACCTGCGCCTCCAAAAACGAAGTTGATTTATGCCAACCCAAAACAAAGCAGCTGAAGTCAATCGCTGCTGCGTGGGTGTTGCTTGAACGAGCGTGAGAAGGTGGCCAAACTCAAAAAGCAAAAGCAAAGCTGGCGTGGCCGGCACGGGATGCTCCGGCACGGGATGCTCTGGCATGAATTCCTCAGGAAATGTGTGTTGGTTGCAGCGTGGGACAAGTGCCGGTCTGCTTCAGCGCAGAACGTTGCTCAGTGTGACTGTGACCGGACAGGCAGGAGTTGCGATCGCTCGTAGCACCACTCCCAAAAAATAATTGGGAAAAGCCATGCCACGTTGGCTTCAGCTGGAGGGGGTTGCTGAGGAGCACTGACTCATCGCTGTTAACCAGCACAAGCATTAAATACTCCATCCTGATGCTATTTTTGTTCCGACGTTCGCTCCTTCTTCCTCTGGTGCTGTAGCTTTACTTAGTTTTCCTTTTTCTGAGCCTCTACCGCTGGGAATATCTTGTGTCAGGTTGTATTCCTGCTTGCTCTCTTCCCATATCTTAATTTCTTTTTTTTTCTCTCCCCTACCAAACAAGTCAGTCATGTTCCATTAGCGTCTCTGCGCTGTGCATGGAAGTTGGCCTTTTGTCTCCTTCGTTTCTTTCCTCCTACTCGCTGCATCTGTGGATTCCTCTACTTTAACCTACATACGGCGCTCGGAGCCGAAGTGCAGACTCTATATGAAGTGTATTGTTGCATCTATTTGAAATAGAAAAGAGCCATCGTCTAAAGGCTCGAGTGAGAGCTGGGAGATGAGAAATGCTAATTCCAGCTCCAAAAGTTGCTCCATGTGAACTTTGCTGGTTGCTGAGCTGCATGCCTGACATCTTTTTTCCCCTCTTTCGGAGTCCACGCCGTGTTTAGTGGTTGAAAAGCACAATAAAACGCATGGTGGAGCTTCACGTGCACCTTAAGAGATGGAGAAGCCACAGTCGTGGCCGTTTCTGGGGCCAGTCCTTGCTGCTTTCCCCTCGGATAACCCCGTCTCCCATGGCATATAGACATCTGGGTTCTTTTTCCATGCTCAGCCCCTCCTGATGTCCTGCTCACGGTTTCTCTGCTGTGTTTTTTTTTTGCAGATCCCCCTCCTGCGCAGCCGCCTCCGCCAGCGGAAGGGGGGCCCCCCACCCCCCGGCGGGAGCCCCGCCGGCCTCGGCCGCTCCCTAAGCAGTCAAGGAAGAAGGAACTTCTACAGCAACACAGTGGTGACCAAAAATGGATTCCTCAGTTCCCTTCTGTTCCCTTGGGAGGTTTTCTCCTCCCGTTGGCCTGTCCCGGTTGTATGTGTGTGCATATACGTACACATATACAAGCACATATACGCAGGGTCTTCTTCCCACCCCCTCTCCCCACTGCTCATAACCTTGGCGGTACTTGGCATTCCTTTGGGAAAGCTTTAGGTCAAAGATGCCAATAGTGCCTCCGTGTTGCTGGTGGGAAGTCCTTTACACTTTGGGCTGCTCGCCTTTCCGAGCGTGCTCCACTCCGGTTTCTTTCGTCTCGGTGTTTTGAGCTTTGGGTTCTCCTGGGGAGGGTTACAAAAAGAAACCAAACTTTTTAAGGTGGAAGCATTAACTGAGCTTTAGGATGTCACACGTGCCCACCTCCACCTGTGGTTTAATCTTTCGGGTTCTCCGGGTAGAGCAAAGCATCGAGACGGGATGCCAAACCAGTGTTTTGAGCAGAGAAGGAAAAGAAGGGCGTGCCGAAGCGCAGAAGGTGCGGGAACGCCAGCCGTGCCCATCACCGATATCCGATCGTTAAGGACGGTGGCAGAGTCCTGGGGCTGCCTCGCTAACTTATTAAAGGAAATATTGATCCAGTGTGAATGAAGCCAGGAGTGACTCAATTGGAATAAAACCACTCAATGGTAGGAGTTTTCTTGCTCCAGTTTTTACCTTTCTTTTGCCTTTGAAGGTGGTAGTTGAGCCTTCCCTCTGAGTAGCTTGGTACAGTAGCCAACTGAGGAATAAATCCATGATTTTTAGTCCCTCTTTTTGGAGCATATACTTTTTACTTTTTAAAATGAACAAAACAAAACAAAAAAAAAAGTAGGTAGCGAAGAAGTGTTAGGGAACGGGGTTGGGTTGGGATGGGATGGCTGGGGGGGGCGAACGCCAGAACTACCTCCTGCGGACCGCCGAGGTGGGCAGAGCCAGCGACCGCGGCGCGCGGCTTCGGGACACCCCGCACGTCACCTCCCGCTCGCGGAGCTGCCGGCGGAT